GGTGACAACCAAGGAGATCCCCTGCTTTTTATTAAAGGTGCTGCTGTTACTATCGTTCCAGAAGGAGGTGGACATGTTTTATGACACTAAGACACCTCTACCATGTAAAACGGAAAGGCTGGTGTTCAAAAGCAGGTGGAAAGAAATGTATGAACGTCTGCAGGCAGGTTGAGAGGGAGAATGGGCTCATGCTTAAGCTGTGCTCCTCTTTCTGGACTGTAGTCCTGGAATGTGGGACTCATTCATAAAGATGAAGGAGGAGGCGTGGAGGCAGTGCGTGTGCATCTCTGCAGAACATTCCCTCCAGCCAGTGAGACACGCAGTGCGATGGTTCCTGTCTGGTGGTCTCAAAGCGTTCTTCAGCAGGGGGGCGTGCTTGATTAATTCCTCTTGGCACCTCCCCGACCCCGCTGGGGGCATCCTGTTGAAGAGCCAATGCACACAACACATGGACAAATCCATCTCCGGTCTATTTTTAGCCGGCCCCAGGGGCTTTCACGGCTCTGCCAGCGCTCTTTACCCTCGTATATCTCAAGCCAGTGTGGGGGCTGGCACGGAAAATCGTTAAAAAAAATGGAGACAAAATTACATTCGTCCCAGTCTCTTTCACTCTCCTCTCCGTTTTCCCTTTTTACAAATCGATCGAAAAAAACAACATTGCTTCGCAATGTAAGGGGATTCTTGAGGGTGTTGTCATGATAACCGTTAGAGAAGGGAAGATCCGTGAGTCGTGCTCTGCGTCAGCTCACACTGATTCTGACGAGATTCGGTTTCTTTTACCTTCCAACCATACCACTGTGTAATGTCAAGATTTCTAAGAAGGGGGCGTGAGTAAATTTCACATGCACACCTGACGCCAGACTTGGGTGGTTTTAAGTGGGTCTTATTGAAAGTATGCCAACTGGTTCACTTGGTAAAGAAGACTCCTCCTCCTGATCTGCAGTGCAGCTGGGAAGCTGGCACCTATTAATTCCTTTTATAACCACATCAAACTGCTTTATGTCTTGCAACAGACCCCTGTACTGAAGTACACCTCACCAATTAAGACAGGGGGGAAGGGATTTAGGGGAGGCCAGTTCCGGATGTCCAGAGTGGAATTAAGCCAGGATATCTGGGAAACCATGCCTACTATTGAGATCTTTATTCATCAAGTAGTCAGGACCTTAGTTTAACTTCTCATTTTAAGACAATACCTCCTTACAGCATAGTGTCCCCCTCCACCATACTAGAGCATTAGTGTGAAACTTTTGGCCTGGGGGAGTGGAGCACCACCTACTGGTCCTTTTGATTTTCCTGGTGAACTCCCGTCCCAGCCTTGCGTAACTACTGAAAGCTCAGACGATCAGGCTAAAAGGCTGTACAGCTGCTGTGGTGTGTTAAGTGGTGGATGAGTAGGTCCCCTCCTATATGTGGAGCACTTTCCAATCCTTTGAGATAAAAGCTTGATAAAGTTCAATCAATCATGATCTTGATGATGATAAGAAGAAAGAGAAGATGGAATAGCTGTTGCAGCATCGTTGTCATTGCAGCACTGCCAGGCTAGGATTTGGGATTCAGGATCACTGTAACAGGGTGGAAGAAGGATAAACTGGTGTATCTACCAATTTGCTTTTTATGTGCTGCTTGCAAACCTTTTTTGCTGGCAGTCGGAAGAGTGTAGCACTGGCACACCTGATGTCATGTTAATAAAGCAGAAAGGCAAGATGATGTAGGATAATACTGCACTGCAAAAAAGCAAAAAAAGCAAAGTTGTGCACTGACAGCTGCTGCTTCCTAATGCTGAGCAATCACTCCTCTGTCACTGTTGAAAGGCTCTAAGGTAAGCATGTCTCCTTATAGCCCAGAGGATATCAAACTGTGTGAAATGATTCTTGAGAAAAAGCCAGCAGCAAAATGGCAGTAAATCTAAAAATGAAACCACACACATGGCAATTTAAGACCCATTTCCTGAAGTCTAATCTGAACATGTGGCGTTTAAACTGCATCTGTTTACCACACAGCAGACACTGCAGGCACAGACCTCCAGCAGTCCTCTTTCCTGGTGACAACAATAGGCTTTCAATGGCCTCGATCACACTGGAAATGAGTGATCAGTATTAGTGTCTTCCTTAAACATAATTTATCTGTCAACCTGTCATTTGTTTGCAGGTCATTGTGTTTAATATATATACAGTATACTGTATATACTGTACACATTTGGTATTATTAATACAACAGGTTGTGAGGGGATGTGTAATGACAACTTGACAATCACGTCAGAAATGCTGATATTTTATCCGGCTTTAGTAGGGTAATCCATGTGACTTTTCTTTTATGACGGGAGGGAGTCTGCTTTCTGCACAGTTCTGATCATTTCAAGTCCTGCTAAAGTATAGCCTCCATCACTTACAGTGCCTGCATTGATTTAACTCTTAATAAAGTGTGGAATGGATCCAGCTGCTATGCCATGGGATTCCTATTCTCATTCCATAAAGGTAAACTGCCATAAGCCCTGAGACAGCAGGTAATTTGTTTATCTGAGGAAAAGAAACAGTGTTTAGAGCCTTGATGCGGCACACAGGACCTAGAGACAAGAGGAGCGTATTGAATCAGTGGTTTTTAATTGCATATTTTGTTTCTGTGCGCCTATGAGAGGAGGTGAGGAAGGGGGCGGGGGAGTTTGCCGGGAGAGTTCCATACGATATGGAATCTAATAAAGCTCATTTGTGTGAGGAAGCCTCAGTCTTCAGTGAGAGAGCTTTGTTTCTTCCTTCTGCCTCTGATTTCACGCTTCACACTGATTGCCTGTTGTATAGGAGCTTTAATTATCTGGCCCGGCTTAATTAGCGGCTTGGGGAAGGAAAAAAATAATTAGTGAACCGACCTCTCCCCCCCCCACACCTCCAGCTGTCATCTGCGAGGGCAGCATCTCATCTCTGCCGCCAGCGAGTGAAATAAAGCATGGCTCATTTCAGATCACAGCCGTCGCCACGGGGGATCGGCACCCTGATAGAAAGCAGCTGTGTCACAGAGATGGCCCCGAACTCGCACACCCCGAGCAAGAGACACACTTCCCTTCATGCTCGTTCAGGATCCTCGGTGCTCTGGGTTTATACTGTACATACCTTTTTAAAAATGGAATGTATTCTAGTAAAGCACGGTGAAATTATGGTAAAGTGTTGAGAGGATGTTCGCTCTGCCCTTCCAGTCCTTCTAATGAAGAAATAAATAATTAAGCAGCAGAACAAACTGTGATATTATGGTTGGGGGGAACCAGAGGAACATTGTCCTAGACTGTTCTCGGCTCTGCTCCTGAGGGAACCCCTGTTTCCAAAGGGTGCCTGTAACTATAAATCTGTTTGCTGGTCTGGACTGGTTTGGATCTGTTTGCGGGATTGCTGGCTTTTCCTGCACTTCAGCCTTGGTTTAAAAAATATCTAAAGCACAGAACTGTCTGCAATCCCTCCTCAACTTGCTAATTAAGAATTTGCTCCCTTATTGCTGATTAATTGGTTATTAGTAGGTGACCGGTTTATGATGAACACATGGGTGGGAAAGACAGTGTGTTAGATACACTAAGCTTCTTTTTACTCTCCTTAAGCCTAGTTGATCACATTTCTGCTGATACTCCTGAATGAGGACAGCTCTGAAGCTCACTAATTAGGTTCATACCAATTCCAATCCCATTCAACTTTTTAATAGCAGAAAGCAAATGTAAAAAAGTAGCTTTAAACAGATATTAGCCTGTGGTTAAGAACTCGGATGGAGCAAAAACCAGAGCATGCAGGGGTCCTTGAGGTGCAGATCCGGTAACCACCAGTGGAGAAGAACAGTGAAGTAAATCCGAATGGGGTTTTGACATGGATGTAATAAAACTGCAAAAACAGAATGCAAGCCTACTGGGCTAAATTCTGACCCCGCTTTTCTTCCTTCATGTTTAATTTGTTTGTACGTCCAACTTCTAACCTCTTTATTCAGTACAGGGTCGTGGGGGAGCTGGAGCCTATCCCAGCAAGCAACAGGCGCAAGGCAGGGTACACTCTGGACAGGACATCAGGCCATCACAAGCCACACACAGACACAAACACACATTCACACCAGTATTCCTAGAAGCCAATTAACCCTCCAACAAGTCTTTGGATTCTGGGATGAGAACAGAACATACAGGAATTAGTAGATAGTAATTGGAGACAGTTCCCCGGCTCTGTGAGGCAGCAGTGCTAACCACTGTGCCACTGAGACACCCGTGTTCGAGCATGTGTTGTTTAAATTGGATATATACAAACATATGAACATCCATAATGAACATCACTGAGCCACGTGCCTGCTTTCCCCCTGAGCAGGATATTAGCCCTGGGCATATATACAGTAAATGTATGTAAATATGTACATATAATAAATGTACAATACAAGGTGTAAATACTTGCAATTTGATAGGCCTCCTTGTAGGTGCAATACATGGTATTGACATCCTGTAGTTTAATAAGGTAATCGATTGGAATATATTAATATCTTGCTAGGATGAATGAGAATCCAGTAAACATCGTGGTATACCTGACAAGCCAGCATAGTTTAACCAAATAGTTCAAGTAGGTAGCTGTGTCAGCATGCGTAGGCCGCAAAGAAACAGGTAAATGTTTATTCCACGCTGAAAAGAGAAGAAAAGAAATAATGTTTCGGCTGTGGAGCCTTCTTTGGGTGGGACCTTCTCCAAAGAAGGCTCCATGGCTGAAACATTGTGTTTCTTTTCTTCTCTTTTCAGCATGGAATAAACCTTTACCTGTTCTGTTAATTTATCTCAGTGAATAACCTGTTGTATACTCTATGGGTTCTACTACCCATGCCTAAAACTATAAACACTGCTTCACTGCTCACAAGATTGTTTAAATGCATTTTGCTTTTCATTGCTTGGATCAATATCCTCAATAAAGGTTTTTTTCTGCTTTTTGTTCTGAAAACAATGGACATGCCTGTGTCAAATGACCACATCACCAGGGAAGCATAGCGAGGCACAGACTCACCCTCATTGTGGCGGTTGTTGATCTGGTTGATTTGTTCGGTGAACTCAGTTAGCGACTCCTCGATGGTCTCCGTCCGGGGCACTGACAGAGAGAAACGGCGCTTGAAGTTCCTCACCTTGTTCATCTCAAAGCAGAAGGATGACCCTGTTAAAGAAACCAGGATGGAGAAAGGTTAATAACTCCGATAACTCCTTGCAGCAACCATTCTGCACCAGCAGCCCCACGTGGGTGATACAGGGCGGCCATTCTGCACCAGCAGCCCCACCTGGGTGACAAACAGTGGCTTTTCTGCTACAACAACCAATTAAGGGGGAAAACTAGGCCATAAGTACCACAGATATCCTCAGAAACCACCCCCACTCTACAATCAGAATGCTCTGGTTTAAGCCTCAACGCTATCTCTCATGAAATTCTTAGTTTCCTCATCCAAAGCCAGTTAACCTGTGGGGGTTAACTGGGAGCACTCAGCGCAGCTGTCCGATCGTTGGGCCAACAAGTTACAAGTAAAATAGGACAAATAGCCTTTCCTTTGTCTAAGGCATTTCTCATGTTGTTAAAACAGGGTTCATATGATATAACTTGAGGTGATGAACCATGAAAGGCACTATATGTGTCTAAATAAAGGCTCTTATAAAGGTAGTGTTCAAATTTTCCACGACCTAGTACTGGTGTATAATTTGCAGAGCTCCCATTTATCACTAAATAACAGTACTGACTGGAAGAGAGGTTCCAAATTCCAAATTCCAAATGAAAGTTTCTTTCGTGTCCTCTTCCCCAAGAATATTTGGAAGTAGAACATGAGTCAATACAGGGGCTCCTAAAGACATTAGTGTGCCTTACAGCCATCTGTCACTGGGGAGAACTGAGAAGGGGGTGTGAATTGGTTAAGGACTTAGATGCCCCAAGCGCCCAGCTCTTTTCATGAAGCCCTGGCACCGCCTGAACTTTGTGGACTTCAGGAAAATCGCTGTCCTTCTCACTCCTGTAACTCCACATTCACAGGTCTCCTCCCAGACCTGAGGTCTGGACACAGTGAGAGGTTACTCTCCTGGATTGTGGTAACACTGTTGCTATGGTGCTCACAAGAGCTGTCACATCAGATTTGAGACTCCAATAAAAAAGCTTTTCCCATTTGCAAATAGTACAAACAGTCACTTGCTCTTACTTACAAGCTTTTGTGGTTCAATTAGTGTGGCAAAACATATTCAGGGCAGATATGGGAACTGGAAGTTTCTGTAAAGAATGCATCCCTCTGGACACATTACCAAGTGCCCAGGAGGCAAAGCAAAGCTTGTTATATGCCCAGGAGGAGGAATTATGTGTGTCCTGGACTATGATTGGTTCAGAAATGCACTCTACAGTCCAAGGGTGTCAGACTCGGCTTTAGGAGAGTTGCAGTGTCTCCTTGTTCCGGTTCCAATTGAAGTACTTAATTGATCTAATTATTTTCTTAATTAGGCTTATTGTAGGTTTTTACACTTGTTCTGTGTGCTTGGTGTTTTTTGTTGTTCTGTGCTTGCTAGTGGTAACGGTGCTCTTGAGGCAAGATGCAGGCGTTTTTGGAGCCTGAGGCAGTAAGGGGCAGGGGGGAAGAGTATTAAATTCACAGAGTTGATTTGGTAATTAAACTAATTAAGCAGCTGAGAGCTTGGCAGGAACAAAAGCCAGATGGCACCGTGGCCCCGTAAGAATGGAGTGTGGCACCTTTACTGTGTCTGGAGCCGTGGTGAAAACAGGGTGTGAAGGACACGTTAAGGAGCCGCTCTGAGCAGCGATGAGAGTGAGGGCCAGTATCTAGGAGTGATCTCTGTCTGGCAGAATGAGTTCGGGTAGCATTAACCTGCTGAAGCATAGAGATAAAGTTAAAATGGTTGGTAAGAAACAGGTCAGGCTGCTTGCAGGCTGCCAGTGTAAAACCCTTCAGAACCTCCCTTCAGTTCTTCTCAAGACAATTACAAGTCAGGCTTCTGTTTTTTGCTATACAGTAAGTGACCACCTAGACACTTCAGTATGCAGAATGTGAGACATCAGAAAATACTCAAATGCAGGTGATACTCTTCATTCAGTGCATTTCTGTGAGGGGGAGGTGTTCAGGGAGGTAGGTTGGGGTGTTGGTGTGGGCAAAACAAAAAGTCCCCCAGTGAGAGAACAGAAGTAAAACCATCCCACTTCATCTGACCCAAGATAAGAAGGATTGGTAGAGAAACTCCCGGTCACAGCAACAGATCTTACCTTCCCAACACAAGTTAGTTATGTGCAGACCAAAGTCTATTATGGGAGCATTCATAATCTGTTCCATTTTAAAATACTTATAATGTATTTTAATGTGAATTAAAATATAATGTGACCCAAATTTCACAGCCGTCTGGTTTTGTGAAAGGTTTTAAGTAAGTAAAGTTTTAAGTAAAACAGATTTAAGGCTGTTGTAGAGGCTTGATTTCAGAGAGCTGACCTATTCAACGGCAACGTTTTTTCCTTATTTTGACAGCACTGCTATCCAGGTGTGGGATATGGATATGAGCAACACCTTGTCTGTTCTGAAATCTGAATGAGGGTGGAGTTCTGGGTCAACTCCTTGCAAGCCAGCATGTTAAAGTCTAAAAAGTAGATCCTCTGTATTGCTGTTTTATTCTTTCCCCACAGTCATACTCACCTAATCCACTGTTTCAGACTAGGGCACTCTGTTGCTGAGCACTGTAGCAGGCTTGTTGCTAGGGACCTCCTCTGCTCCATTTGTTCTGCATGTTTCACAGGAACTACAGTAGTCAATTAATTAACAATAATAGAGGAAGAGCCTCGATAGCAGGTGATTTAACCCCTTGTGGCCTGAGGGAATCTGTGTTGCTTTAAAGCCGTCAGCAAAACAAACAAACAGAGGAGTAACAAGCCAGGTGCTTTGGAGAGAGCTGTATTGACTGAAAGTAGTAAAAAGCTTTGCAATGCTCTCGACAGAAACACTTCTGAGCCTTCTCCTGCAAAACCTTCAATACTTCCGTCTGATCTATCCATCTGAAGATTAATCACTTGTAACACCTGGCTCTCAAATTGCGACACGCCATTGTTTGCACATCTCAGACTTCCCACAGACAATTGACACAGATCATTTCATTCTTTTGAGCATGTGAGGCTGACAAAAGGAAGAGTAAAAAGAAAAAGCGTTAACTAAGTTAATACATAAATCTTTGACTCTTGGCACAACCCTTCTGAAAAAAAAAATGTGTTTCTATCGAGTTCAAACCCACTGATGAGGCTTCATCACAGGAGAAGCTCTGCAGGGCCATTTTCCCATAGGAATTATATGTTGTTATGCAAAATGATTGCGACACTCATTGTCTTGAATAATAAGAGGTGATGTTCTGATCCAAACAAAAGAGGTCAGAACATCCTATGTGGTGCAAGACATGGAGCTTGCCGTAAGGGCAGGTATGAGACAGGTGGAAGAAGCCATAGCAGGGAATTCTGGGATGGAAGGTTAAGAACACCACAATTCCGGTACAAGGAAGGTTGTTCAGTAGTGTTTTCTTCTCATTCTCCTCTCACCTCTTATGCATTCTTTATAGCCCACTTTCTTTGTTTTTCCAGATTTCCATTTGGCTTCAGCAGAAGCCCTAACAAGACAAAAAACGCATTTCCACAGATCTTGACTTACACGGAGCTGATTACAGAGGAATAAAATGGCTTAGTGGCAGCATTCTCTGACTCTATTTTTTATTGCAAATATACAGTATACTGTATAAAGTAGTTTCTAAATTTGATAGCTAATTTGTGGCAGTTCCGACTGAAGCACTCAATTTGCTTGGCATTAGCAATTTTCAATAAAGAATTCATTAGAGCAAGTAATTTTCTTATGAGTACTGCTTCATTTTTCTAATTAGCAAAATCACTCAAAAAGTGTCAAAATTCAAGCAGAGTGAAATCTATTTAACTGCATATCCAGCCATTAATTCTAATTATAAATCACGTTCCATGCTTTTTAAAAATCCAAATAACTACTTTTTTATGAAGATATGAAAAAATGCTTTTTTAGAATGTTTCCTTACATTCTAAATGTAAGATTGCAAGACTGTTTGGGCGTAAGATTCTAAGTAAGAGAAAGAAATCTTTAGTGGAGGAACAAATGCTAAATTAATCAACTTTACATTTTTAAAGTGCATTTCTGCACCTTTGCAGGTCAAATCTTAAAAGCATTTTAAACATAACATTTTGAGTGAGAAATGTGTCTCTTCTAAAGTTTTAACTTATAACTGGGATACATTTTTGTGCCCCTTCTATTTAAAATTTGAGTATCTTTAAATAAAGGCTCATAATTCTAGAACTTCTTAATATTTTTCTTTCTTAAGGTTGAATTATTTTTAACCTAATATAATTTTAAATATTTTTTTTTATACAACAACAGCAGTGATAATAACGATGTGAGAAAATCGTGATTTTTTTTCCCATTTCATCAGAGGTAGGTTCTTTCAGAATTTGTGGAAGTGATGCAGCCCAGAGGTTATGCTCTGGACTACAGGCCTTGTTACAAGATGTCAGCCAGTGCAAATTTGACCTCTACACATACCTTGTTGAAAGACACCCTGAACAAAGTACTGTATATGCCACCCTTTACTGTTCTGGTCTCATCAGATCTCAGAAGCAGAGCAAGTCTAGGACTGGTCATTACTAGGATGGGAGATCTTGAAGAGAACCGGGTGCTTTTTATCCAGAATTTCCATTCCAGCACCTCAGTATGGTGAGTGGAGTCACTGTGCTGTGGGAGATGCCATCTTTTGTACAAGTAGGCTTCTTCACCAGTTGTATTCTGGCAGAATACCACAGAATTCTGGCTAAATTCCTTTGTGAGCTTGAACAATCTGGTCTCTCTTAAAATTCCCCCTTAATTCAACGAGTGAAGCCGTCTCTCACTGCTCCATCTGAGCAATGTAGTGGGGCTGCTGGTGCAGAATGTCTGCCCTGTTTCAGCCGCTAAAATGACTTTGACTCTAGAAATTAATCATGTTAAAAAAAGTACTTATATGTGGCAGGCTGGTCTTTGAGAGGACTGTTAGGACAGCTGAACTGCCACTAATTAGTTTATTAAATTATTGGTGGTGTTGATTCAATATTCTCACATGGGGTGCAATTATGAACTGTTTGGGGATATAAAG